TAAGGCCAAAGATGCTGTTCATCATCGCACGGTGTTTTCTTGAGAAAAAATGCCTCCCAGTGGTAGGAACAGCAGGGCCATTTCTCTAAGCAGCCCTGTGATTTTACAGTAGACTTTATTGCCCTCTTGGAGTTGCTGCTGGAAAGCAGAAAGCTGCATTTGTAGCCCTCCTGTAGCCATGGATCAAACACTAAAACATCGTTTGGATACTGAGCTTGTTCCTTGCTGCAATTATTTTCCTATCCTGTTTTCTTCTGACCTCATCTTCCTAACTGGTATTTTACCTTGCAGTAGCGTGTACATTTTATAAGACATGTGTGAGAGTTTAGCCAACCGTATAGTTAGAGAGAACACAGTCCACACAGGACCGCCCTCACTTCTGACACCTATTGCAAGTTCAAGGAGTTCCAAAAACTACCCTCGGTTTTAATAATTTGCTAGAAGGATTCACAGAATACAATGAAAGCTGTTATACTCATGGTTATGTCTTATTGTAGGGAAAAGATACAGATTAAAATCAGCCTGGGAAAGAAGCACACAGAAGCCAGGAAAGTACTAAGTATGTCCTCTCCCATGGAGTTGGGATGGGGTACTCTCCTGGCATCAGTGTGTGACAACACACACACAATATTTCCAACCAGGAAAGCTCGGCCAAGCCTCAGAGTTTTTACTAGGACTAAATCACACGCTGCCCACGTGGCTGACTGTCAGTCACCAGCCCTTCCAAAGGTCAGGCTGATATCTTTGGTCTCCAGTCTCTCTGGAGGTAGAAATGACAGTGCTTGGCCCAAATCCCCCATCATAAATCACACTGTTGAACTGTCTGATGGCCAAGGCCCCTGGACAAACAAAGATGCTCTTATCAAGTATGGCATCCCAGGGCCTAGAGATTGGCACCCCATAGCAGAGGACAAAGTCCAGACCTCTCTCTGGGAAAGATTGATTCTTTGCTAGGGAACTTGTAAGATTCACCTTTTGAACAAGGCAACAAGAAGGAAGGAAGGAACAAACCAACCAATCAAACCAAATCAGTCCGGTATGGCCAGACTCCTGAATCCTGCCCTGCACTGACAATGACACTGCTGGAGAACAAGGTCCCTCAAGGAGAAATCCAGGGTGAAGGATTCTAGCAGAGACTCTCTGTGCCCACAGCCATTGAGCCCCTTTACGAGCTGGTACCCTGGGCTGGAGAAGGGGGTTAAGGGTGCCACCCAGCTCTGAGTGAGGTGAGGAGAGATAGCTCATAGAGTCCTCTGAGACCAAGGAAGCTGCAGAATGCTGACACACAATGAGACTGACTTGCACTCATTCTGTCACCTCACGTTATTGGGTAAGATTTCCAGGCATAGAAGGTTAGGACATGCAGTAGAAAGTGGGAGTCCTGGCAGCTTTGCAGGACCATTTGGAAAGGATGCGGGGTCAGGGCCACAGTTGACACCCAGGCCCCAGAGCCTTAGAGCTGCTTTCATGAATCTTCAGGCCACACCTAGACCAAACCGCTATTGTTTCTCCCCTGGCACTATGAGGAGTTCTGGGGAACTCAGAGGCCTGTAATTCCCCCCCAAAAAATACAAAAACAAAAGAAAAACAAACCAACCCTGCCTGTAAGGCCACAGAGCTCCCTCTGCAGAATGGCATGCAGACCATGGCTCACCCCAGCAGCAAAGGGGAAGAAGGAAATGTAGACAGCTCAGAGGGGAGGGTGCCTAGAGAGCATGGAGGGTCATGAGGGCCAAGCTGAGGATTCTGGGCTCCTGCAGGTGTCCCAAGCCCACCTGCACACGGGACTCCAGCTCCTTCCACCTCTCTGTTCCTGTCCTGTCTGTGCCTCTAGCTCTGCCCTCCCCCACCCCTCACACACACCCTACGGCCTCACTGCAGGAGAGAAGTTGCCTATGTCTCCCCCCCATCCTACCATATATTGGGTTTTCCTCCCCATTGACATGTTTGGTTCCAGCTGGAATCCTCCTAATTATGTAGCTATCTTATTTCTCTTGCATAGATTCCAATTTCTTCATGCTTCACATGCTACCCCAGTCCAGGCTGACCCAATAGTCACCTCTAGTGACAGCTCCAGGTCCAGACGTGTGAGAATCCAGGGATTGAGGGATCCTGATCCGGCTCACTCCTACCTTCCTCCTCAAAGGCTCCCGGAGGTCCGGACTCTATCAATGACCCACGCCAATACCCATCCCCAGCAGGGGCTCCAGTTTTCACCCCAGCCATACAGAGGCCTGGTCCTATCTGTTCTCACCCTGAACTTAACTTCTCTGCCCTGATTGGACAGGACACGGGGTCTCTCCACAGGTGTGGAATTGCCCACAGGTAAGATTGCCTCAAGAGCCAAAAGCCATGGCTAGGAGTCAGGCCTGAGGATCATGACAAAGGATGGCAAAAATGGGATTCGTGGAAGAGTTCCCTTCCCATTCCCTTTATGAGCAAAAACACAGGTGTAATCAGCCTCTTCCTGGACCATAGGCACCTTCCATCACTCCTGGAACTTATGAGGCTCACAGGGCCACTTGTGAACAGGCCCAGTGCTCAAACCTGGTTCCTCTATTACCAACAACCACAAAGCACTTGGATTTCCAAGTGTGCTCAAACTCCTTCCCCAAGCAGTAACATAGATAACTCCCTGGGAGTCTCAATAATCAGATATATGTCAGAGTTCTCACCTCTTCAACAAAGGTAATGATTCGAAGGAAGGCAGAGAAGCAGGATTTAATTCATTCATTGACTTATTCATTCACCAATCATTTATTTATTTATTTATTGAGATGCAGTCTTGCCCTGTCCCCCAGGCTGGAGTGCAATGGTGCAATCTCGGCTCACTGCAACTTCTGCCTCCCAGGTTCAAACAATTCTCCTGCTCAGCCTCCCGAGTAGCTGGGCCTACAGGCACCCACCACCATGCCCAGCTAATTTTTGTATTTTTAGGAGAGATGGGGTTTCACCATGTTGGCCAGGCTGGTTTTGAACTCCTGAACTCGTGATCCACCCACCTCGGCCTCCCAAAGTGCTGGGATTACAGGCGGGAGTCACCGCGCCCAGCCTCATCAATCATTTATTGAGACCCTCTACATGCCAGGCCCTCAGGTGTACCCTGGTTCACAGTGTAGAAGGCAAGAAAAGAGACAAAGTATTACAAGTGTGACAGAGGGGGCACAGAGAGGAACTGCTTAGTTCTACCTGGGGAGGACACCCAAAGAGGTGAGTTCGCCTTGACCTCATCTTGAAAGACAAGTATTCAGTATAAGGGAGATGTAGGGAGAGGCCGTTTCAAGATGTAGCCACAGGAACAAGGACAGGGCCAGGAGTAGCCTGGGAACTGGTAGAACGTGGCATGGCTGGAGAGGCAGGCTGTGAAGAGGGTGTGCTAAGAAGTACGCATGCAGAGGCCGTAATCAGACGGATTCAAACTACACCAGAGCAGTGGGAAAGGAAAGGAGGGGTTTGAGATTGGGAGTGATAGAATCAAACTTGCATTCAAGATCCTGTGGCTGCCAAGTAAAGAATGATCAGAACAGGGGGAGAAAAAGACAGTGAGCCTATTACAATTGCCCGGGCAAGAGAGGGAGGTGTCGGCTAAAACAAGGGCAGTGAGGTGGAAGGGAGGGCGCAGACCCGAGTGACACTAAGGAGGTACGATCTACAAGACTTGATGATACAGACTTGAAGATGTGATGGATGTGAGGGGCAAAGAAGAGGGAGGGATTGAGGATAATAGGAAATTGAGGACAAGACGCTGATCTGTGGGAAAATGTGAGTTAAAATGTGAGTTAAAATCCATCTTCTGATGAGGTGTTCTTGGCATGGCCAGGTGAAGATATCCCTCAGTCCAGAGTCTATGTAACTTCAGGGTGCGTTCTGGGCTGGAGATAGAGACTTGGGAGTCATTTATATTTGGTGGTGCTTGAAGCCAGCTGTGCGGATGGAGCACTCCAGAACTCAAGGAAGGAGTATAGATTGTAGTGCGTGTAAGTTATTTTTACCCTTTTACTTTTTATATATAAAGAATATCTATACAATATATATGGCTTAAAATAGCACAAGTATAAAAACAACTAAGATGTTTATTAATATTTTGTGAAATAAATTAGGGTCCAGCCACATAATGAAATATAATGTAGCCATGAGAAAGAACGAGGCTGATCCATAAATACCTATGTGGAATGAGCCCAAGATAAAGTGTTAGTGAAAAACATGAAAAGCAACGTGTGAAACCATGTGTACAGTGCACGTGCACCTCCATTTGTATATAAAAAGAAACACTCGTACATATTCACACATCTATACATGATTGCATATGCATTAAAATGTTTAGGCTGGGTAACCAACTCATGGACTAAGGTATGTGCTTCTTTGTTCTTTTTTAAAAATTTACTGTTTTTACCATATTCACATATATGTTTCAATCAAAAAGCTAGATTAAATAAAATATTCCAATCTTTTTTATTTCCCCATATAGTTTTCAATAAACCTCTCTTGACGTTACCTGAGAATGGGTCCATTCCCTGCAACCGAAGATTCTAAGGAACTGAGTTTCTCGGTATACAATGGGAATGGCTGGGAGGAGATGAAGAGTAGAAGACAGTGTCAAGAATCCAGAACCCAGCACAGTAGTGTTCACCTGTAGTCCTCACTACTCAGATTCCTTGAGCCCAGGAGTTTGAGTCCAGCCTGGGCAACATATTGAGACCCCATCTCTCTTTAAAAAAAAAAAAAGGAAAATAAAAAATACAGGAGATTGTAGCTTAGAAGAAGAGTAGGTGAAAAGATGAACAATGTGACTGGAAAGATTTCCTAATCTCTCCAGATCTGGGCTCTACCGTAAGGTAGGTAAATGAATAAGCATAGCCACCTGGGTCACAGATGCTAAGACGACATCCCTACAGGTCAGGAATTAAGAAAGGCAGATAAGGAAGCATAAACTGCATCTTATAAGACAGATTCCTAGCACTCTTTTCTTTTTGTTTCCTTTTTGCTTTCCCTAGTCCTGCATTTTTGTTGAAGGCAGAAGATTAAAGAAAGAATTGCTGAGCTGATATCCTTGGGGTTACAGGCTGAGGTCCCAGGTAGTATTGGAAGACATGAGGTTAGCAGATGTAGTCTTTACTTCGGGAGAAAAAGAAGAGTTTTCTGCTAAAAGTTGGTTCTTGTCTCTTTTCTACCCTCCTCCCATGCCATCTCCCTAGTTATAGAAAAGATGAGTCATGCCCCTGCAGGGTTAGCTCCCTATAGGGCCAGTGACAGGACCCTTCAGCTATTGCTGGAAGGGCTAGGACCTCAGTTGGTAGAGAAGCCTGGTGTAAATGGAAGAAAATGACCAGAGAAAAGCAGAATGTGCCTAGGTGTAGATGTTTGCCACCAGGATCCGGGAGGGAAAGGACCCTGAGACTTTCTCACCTAGATGCAGACCACAGCCCTGTGCAGACAGGCACAAAAGCCAAGGCTCAGTAAGATGGAGCCTCAGCCAGACAGCTGTTCCCTCAGACAGATAATTTCCAAACAGCTTGAGTGGTCAGAATGGGACATGAACACAGGCATACTCATGGAGACATGCAGGAACGTGAGATCAAAGGCTCGCCAACCTTTCCATCACAGGGGCCTGCCATGGAGAACAGGGAGGAGGTGAGATGAGATAATAAGGATCTCCTGACAGAAAGAGTGGATAGAAGTGCATACAGGTACATACAGGAGGATCTCTGGGCTTCCTCCCTCCCTCTCCCTACACAGATTTGAGAAGTGCCAGCCCCCGCCACTGCCCCCACTCACCAGGTCATAGTTCCTACTAAGTTGCAGAGGAACATTTCTGCACTGCAATCCTGGCCATCCTGGCTTTAGGGTCTCCACAGAGTGAGCCCATGTCATACCCCTCCCCACTTCAGGAGGAGCAAGACAAAAAGACCAGATGAGACCTCAGTGACAACCATCTCATCCTCCAAGAAGAAGCAGGCAGGACAAGACTCAGGGGTGAGAGAGGTGGGTGGAGGCGGGGAATTTAATAAAGGAGACCCTTGACTTTAGTGTTAATTGTTAGGAAGAAGGTGGCTCTTTAGACAGGGCTCCAGATCTGATGAGGTAGGTCTCAGGCACATGGGAAGATTTCCTAATCTCTCTAGAACCTGGCTCTACTTTAAGGTAGGTAGATGGACAAGTGTAGCCACCTGGCTCACAGATGCTAAGAACGGCATCCAGGCAGGCCAGCAGCTAAGAAGGGAGACAGATGAGGATGTATAAACCGTGTCTTATAAGGCAGATTCCTGGCACTCCTTTCTTATTTAAGTTTCCCTTTTGTTTTCCCTAGTCTTTAATAAAAACTTGTCCGAAGGTACCAAGATGTGTTGGAGGGGAAGCAATGTTCCCCAAAGTCCAGCATAGTAGACATCAGTGGTGGTAACCAAGGAGAGACCCCAAGGGAAGGTGAACCTCAAAAATGGAACCTTGAGTCTATGCGGTCCAGCAGCCCTCCCCACCAGGAAATCCTTGTTCCAGCCCAACATCAGTGGCTCTGAGTTTGGTTACTAGAAACGAAGGGAGAATTTCCTTGTAAAGATATAGACAGAGCAGTCCCTGACTTTCTCCTCTTGCAGGAAGGAGGGATTCTCCCATTCCATACCATCTTCCCCCCATGCTGGCCCCAGAAATACTTAATTTGACTATATAAAAATAAAGATTGTTTTCAGTTTAAGGGCATAGGGATCCATTTATCCTTATTCTTTATGAGGCACTAAATTAGCCTTGTATGTTATCAAACGTGTCTCATCAATGCAGTCGGCATTGTTTCATTTTAACTTCTGTTTGGTGATGTTCAGTTTTCTGAATGTCTTGATCACTTAGTATGAGCAGAAAACGTTGCAAAATTGCTGTGGGTAAGGGAAAGTTGTAATTATGGTCACAAGGCAGGAGGAGCAGAGGGCTGCCTAGGTGATATGGTCTGAGGTGTTTAGGAAAAGCCCTTCTCAGGTACCTCTCCCTAGGACACCACCCCAACACACATGAAATTCCACTGATGTCTTTTTGGTTGCCACTATGTTCCCCAAGTTCTTTTTTGAATATGCAAGTACGGCTAGGAAAATAAGAAAAGTCATATCATAGCTCTGTTTAGAAACGGGTCTAAGACGTTTATAAATGTTCAGAAAAAGTGTAAATCTCCTTGGGTAAGTGGCTTAGATGAAACTGAGTTCAAGTTGGCAAATGTGCACGCTTTAGCATTTAAAGCCAAGTGCTTTAAATCAATCTGAGCTTCAAAAGGCAATAGTTAAAAGTCGAAGTATAGTAGACAAAAAATATTTTCTTGACTGGAAGAGATCTTCATGGGACTCTTTACTATGAATGACCTAGAAAAAATAACATCAGGCAATCTTTTTTTTTTAACTTTAATTCAACCCAACAAAGACGAATTTAATTCTACTATATGTAAGGCACTGTGGTAAATAAAACTGAGGACACAGAGTTGCATAAAACAGTTTTGTCCCCAGACACTCTAACCACACAGGACAAAACATGTATGGAGACACAAAGCCAAGTGTCAGGTTGCTGTGAGGGTTCAAAGAAGGGAGACAGCCCATCCTGGTGGAGGTCTCACCAGTAGCATTGAGAGGGCGTTTGGAGGCAGCCATAATCAATAAACTACACATGAAAGAACTGGCTCAGAGACTGGAAATCAGGGCTGTTTTAGGAAACTGTATGATCAGGTCTGGATGGAGCACAGAATCAAAGTGGGGAGTTAGAGGGAAATTGGGGTGGGGGAGAAGATTGGGATGCTCCGAGCAAAACCAAAGCAAAGGAAGTTTAAGGCCAATCAGCAAAGTGTGTCTTCCCTCCTTTTCCTTTTCTCCTACTGTGGAGGGTTCACTCCTATCCACCCGACAGAACAGGGATTCTGAACACACTCCCAGGAAGGGTTTCTGGGCTGCAGGCACCTCCCCACGGTGAGCTGTGCCCTTGGACCTGCTCGTGGCAGGAGGACTGGCCTTCCCATCTGGCTCAGTGTCCACCCTCCTGAGGCCCCTCTTCCCAGCCTCTTCCCCTCTGCCACATCCCCTGACACCCTCGGCCAACCTTGTCCCTCTGGTCCCTTTACCTCATGGCTAAAAGTGGCTGGTGGTAGAATGGCACCCAACCTCACTGCAAGGGATAAAGTGGCTTTAATTTCACCTCATGTCAGAGCTCAGCCCTATTTAATGCCTACTGTTTACTCTCTAATGCTTTCCATGCTCTCTTCCATCACTCTCTGCATGTCAGCATCTCTTGGACCCAGCTGACTTTCTTTGTGTCGGAGGGCAGAAGCAGGACTCACGGAAAGGAGAAGCCCACATACACCAAGGGACACGGCTCTCCATGTGTGAGAGGGCTGTGGAGGCCACTCACGGCTTATCTTCTGTGATGGGCTGAACTGTGGCCCCCAAAATTCCTATGTCAAAGCCCTGACCCCATATCCCAGAATGTGACTGTATTTGGAGACAGGGTATTTTAAGGGGTAATCAAGTTAAAATAAGGCCATCAGGGTGGGCCCTAATCCATTCTGATTGGTGTCCTTATAAGAAAAGGAAACTAGGACACAGACTCACATAGAGAGATGACTACACGGAGACACAAGGAAAAGACAGCTGTCTACAAGCCAAGGAGGGAGGCCTCAGAAGAAATCAACGCTGGCCAGGTGCAGTGGCTCATGTCAGTAATCCCAGCACTTTTGGGAGGCTGGGGCAGGCGGATCACCTGAGCTCAAGAGTTCGAGACCAGCCTGACCAACATGGAGAAACCCCATCTCTACTAAAAATACAAAAATTAGCCGGGCGTGTTGGTAGGCACCTGTAGTCCCAGCTACTCGGGAGGCTGAGGCATGAGAATCACTTGAACCCAGGAGGTGGAGGTTGCTGTGAGCTGAGATCATGCCATTGCACTCCAGCCTGGGAAACAAGATCAAAACTCTGTCTAAAAAAAAAGAGAAAGAAAGAAATCAACCCTGCTGACCTTTGACTTTAGACTTCCGGCCTCCAAATCTGTGAGGAAATTAATTTCTGTTGTTTAAGCCACCCAGTCTGTGCCATGTATTACAGCAGCCTAAGCTGACTCCTGCATCTGTCAAGCCTGCGATGTCCTCAAGAAGAGCAGGGGACAACCTCTAGCCCCAGCCAAGAAAGGAGCAAGGACAGCAACCTCACAAGCCGGAAGGGAAACAGCTTTCCCAGACCAGGGGGTGCTGGCAAACAAGGCAAGCTCCTCTTTCCCATCTGCTTTCCATTCTCCCATGACTGCCTTAGAGCAGACTGGGCTGCTGCAGGCATCTCCGTGCTGACAGGGAGTGTGCTCAGGTCTCCCCCTTCAAAAGAACCTGGTGCAAGAAGCCTCCAGCCTCCTGCTGCTATATTTTGGATACGTTGGGTGTTCACACCATCCCAGCCTGCTCCCGGCCAACGACTGAGCACAGAGGGTGCCAGAAACAGGGCAAGAAACAGCCCACTGTGACTGATGTGGGGCTTCACCAAGAGGCGAGCTCTGTTCTGGGACACTAAGCCTGGCAGGGACGTCCGGGAGCTGCAGTGCAGTTTGAGGATCATCCTACCCGATCCTCTTCCCAGCCTGCTCTTCTTTCCCAGGTGTCCCACCAGCTCTGCAGTCTGAAGTCTCTCCTGACCACTCCTGCTCCCCGCTCTTCATCCTTCACAGGCGCGGTGTTTCCCACGGTGACGCTTCTGCAGGTTTAATCTTGTCTTGGCCTCTGCTTCTCTTCACAGATCTGGCTACCCCTAGTTGTCCTTCCTTCAATCTATCCTCCACACTGTTAGAGTCCTCCTCCTTCTAAAGACCGAATCTGATCTAGTCACATGCTGCTTCCGTTCATTCCAAGATGTCTGGTTGCTTACCAGATAAATTAGAAGCTTTCGTCTCTTCAGTCCCAGCCTCTGCTCAACTGCCCGCTCTCTGATCCTCTACCCGAGGCCTGTCCTGACAGCCACCTGGAACTATCTACACTCATCTACACGCCAGTGCCACTTGACAGCAAGCCCTGGGGCCATATGACTCCTCTATTTTGGAACATCTTTCTCCATTCCCATCACCCCTTCCTGCCACACACACACACACACACACACTCATACACACTCTCTCTCTCTCTCTCTCTCTCTCTCTCTCACTCACTTCACCCAGTGATCTTTGAATTCCTATTAAGATCCCCTACAAATGTTCCCTTCTCAGGAAAGCTTTCCTGGACACACCCAAGCAGAGGAAATCATGCCTTCCTTTGTGCTATTTTTAGCACTTACTGATATCTCTTGTGGCATTTACCAAATTGTCCCACAGTTCTTTGTCTTTTAGGGACAACTTTAGGGTAGGTGTAAAGTCATTTTGGTGTCTCCGACACTAGCATAGTACTTTGTGCATTGTTAAGTATGTCTATACATGTACATACGCATACACACACGTGTGTGCATGAAACATGATGGCATTAGAGTTTCTAGCTTATATCCCAGTATCTTGGCCATTCATTAGCACCCTGGTTAGGATCCTCTCTTATCAATTTATCCTCATGGCCAGCTTCTGCCTCCTGTTCCCATCAGAGGTCCCATCTGTGCCTCCTCATCTGTTGGGTGGGGTGCAGCACGTATGATGGGTGGGTTATGGAGTGGCCCTGAACTGGAGTCACAATCACTGATTATGTGCTGGAAGTCAGAGGGGGGAAAGGGAAGGTCCCCCTTTCCTAGGAAAAGGGTCTTCAAGTTGCCAAGAAAAGTAAGAGATCAAATTCCCCCAAGAAGTAGATTTCTGACCACTCCTTGGATTTTTTTCTTTTTTGCTTGAGTTAATTTAAGTTAGCTTCTACTACGTGCAACTAAAAGGCTTTCATGAATTCAGTTGAAATACTGTTGTTAGGAAGGAAATGACTTGCTTGAGAGATCAAGCTTAGGTTGAAGGTCAACATTGGCCAGGACACTTAGAAAGCAATTAATCCTCGTGGCAGGACAGGGATGGAGTGGAGGGGATAGGTGATCTCTAAAGTCCCTTCTGAGAGGACAAGGGTGCTTCCCCCGATGTGGAGCTTCACAAAGAAGCGAGCTCTGTTCTGGGACACTAAGCCTGGCAGGGTCGTCCTGGAGCTGCAGTGCAGTTTGAGGATCGTCCTACCCGATCCTACCTGATCCACCTGTTCCAACCCATCGCCTCCCTCCCTTCAAAATGTAAAGCAAAAGACAGGAAGATCTCCTTGCAGATCTTCAGCTCCCTCAGGGAAAGAGACCCAGCAGAGTCCTGCATGGCAGCAAGGGGCCAGGGCAGGAGAAGAATGAAAGATGCCCAGAGAAGAAAGGCAGTGCCTCTCCCTGCAGCAGCCAGGGCTGCAGATATGACGGAGCAGAGGCGGTGGTCTCTTCTAGGGCAGCATGAGCCGAGTTACTCAGATGATGTAAGAAGGAAGTAGAGAAACTGCAGTCTTAGCTCAGAGTTTTCCTTACATGCTTGTGAAAATAAAGTTACCCTCTGTACAGACTGAATAATGTCCCCCCCCAAAGATGTCCACATTCTAATCCCTGGAACCTGTCCCTGTTTTGTTATATGGCAAAAGAGACTTTGTAGATGTGATTAAATAAAGGATCTTGAGATTGGGAGATTATCCGAGATTATCAGAGCAGGCTTGATGTAATCACAAGAGTCCTAAGAGAAAAGCAGGATGCAGCCCCACGATGACAGAAGCAGAG